TATCTGATCCTTTATCTTACCAAGTCCAGAGCTTCTGGTTCTCCCTTAGGTTTCCCTCACCTTGATGTTCCTGTGACTGGCCTTTCATGGTCTCTCTGCCACAACATTGTATCTTAATTCACCAAAATTACCTCTTCTACTTTTCTACACATAGAACAGTTGATCCCTGACTTACAATGAGTTAAATGGTTTAAGTTATCATTTTTTGACACTATCAAGGCAAGAAAGTGATACTCATTCAGTAAAAACAATACTTTGAATTTTGAACTTTGTGGGTCCATCCTCCCCCAATTCCAGTCTAGTGATATTGCAGTCAAATACTTGGTCCCAATGCTGGGCAGCAGCAGTGAGCTACAGTGTCTAGTCAGTCATGTGCTCAGGAGAGGAAAGAACCCTATGTTGCTGACTGTGATGTGCAGTGGGTTAGATATATTAAATGCATTTTTGATTTGCAATAGCTTTAATTCATGATGGATTTGTCAAGACATACCCCCGCCCTCCCACCCCATCAAACAAGGAATAGCTATAGCTTGTTTACTCTCTTCTCTCTTCATAAGAACACCACAGTTCATCTTGTTTACCTCTTTATCTTCCAGGTCTGGACAAGGGTATGTGTAAGATGTTCAATAAGTGTTTGCTGCATGAAATATATTCTTTCCTTTCTTCTTAGGCTTCTCGGGTTTTTTTTCCATTTCCTCTCCATTACAAGAAACAACACAAATTGAATGGTGATAATGGGTTTTCTTTACTTCTAGAACCTTCAAAACAGTGTTCCTAGAGACCCATAAAGGTCAATGGAGTAAAAAGCACAAGGACAAAAATGGGACAGCAAGGTTCTCAGCTCACCTAACGGCTAATGGTTCACTGAGAGCAAAAGAAGCAAAAGATAACATTAGAGAAATGTAAGCGTCTCATGCAGTATCATCTGGAAATTTTTTTATTTAAGTTTAACTGAAAATACTCATTTTGATTCAAAAACTCTTTATTTCTGCTGTGTGCCAGAAAATATTCTCCAAAAAAGAGCATCAAGCCCCTTTTCTATGCACCCTGTGTCAGGCATGGAAGAATACTGTTTGGATTTTAAATTTAAATAGAAAACTAAGGGTTGTCCCAAAAGGTACAGAATTGTTCAAAGTCATTTAGACAACTGTGTATGTGTTGAAGGATGTATTGAACAAATTAACTCAACATTCAAAAAAAAAAAAGCCCTTTTGCTTTGTTCTCTGACATGCGGGGCACTCAGTGTCATACACATATTTGCTGCATGAATTTGCAATGAGAAGAGAGACTTGATGGCTCAAGGGCTCACAGACTCAAGTGTCTTTTACTTACTTAGTGCATATCAGGATTAATGTTGTGAAGAACATGGTGATTCAATTTCTCTTGTTTGTTTTTAATATTGAAAGAAATGATGATTAAGAAAACCATAAGTTATTTATGTCTCTCAGCATATTAACAGTTGATTTTGCAAATGATACAAATCACTGTCTTGTATATAAATAGATCTGAATTATCAGAGTGTGTGTAAGGAGGGGGGTGTCGTCAATTCATTTAGTTTTTTTATTTTTTCCTTTTAGGATTGGCTGCATAGCAGATGTCCAGAAAAAGAGAACTGAACAATGATTACACAAACACCAGTGATACAAAGAGAGAGAAAAAAAGAGAAGCCCCAGACTGTAAACACAGTCAGCCCAGCTGAATGGAAGGCCACAAAGGGACTTGTTCTAATCAAGATGCACAGATCTGTCTCTAATAGGCCCCAGGGATGTCAGGGCAGGGCCCTGATGTATGAGCTGGTGCATCTATATTTGCATATTAAATATATAAATAACCAGCAGTGCAGGAAGAGATGGGGGAAATGGGAACATGGCATTGAAAGAGCATATTCATCCAGTTAAAACTAGTTGGAATAAGACCAGATTCTAGTGTGTCTAGATAAATTTTTTTGTAGTAGGGCCCAATTCCAAAGCAAGATCAATGCACAGACTTCACCTGACTCAGACGGCCTGTGTAGCTAGGAAATAACTTCTGATCACCCAGTATGAATCTCTCCTTCACTCTCAAGGCAGGTCAGACTGGCTCAGCTAACATCCATCAAGAATATGTTATGAACTGTACTGTGGTATATAAGTGGTATTGTCACAGGGCTTTAGCATTTAGAGTGGAAAGGAAACAGATAACGAATTCATTTCTGTATAATGTGGAAGTGAAGGGGTACATGTCCATCCAGGAGGCTATGGGAGTTCAGAGGAGGCATAGCAGAGACAGAGACCACGGGGGAGGGAGTTTCCCTAGGACTGAGCTGCAAGTAACAGAAATATAACCTAAGACAGCTTAAATTTTCTGTGCCCATTCCTGATAGCAGGGAAGGTATGAGGAGATTATGTCAGTTCTTTCTTTGCTCATGTTCTATACCTGCATTTTATTCCCTTTAGAGCTGGTAAAATGAAGCTGTGTTACCTTGTTGTTGTTGGGGTTTTTTTTATTTTGTTGATGTCTATTTGTTTGTTTGCTTTGAGACAGGGTCTCACTAGGTTGCTTAGGGCTTCATTCAATTGCTGAGGCTTGCCTTGAACTGTTTTATGACTAACTCAAAAAAAAAGAAAGCAACCCCAAGAAACTTTCCCAAGACTCCATGCAGGATCTGCCAGGGGGCCATCTGGAATCTTCCCCCAACCAGATTCCTGGGGTAGCCTGATTGAGCACCAGCCTCTGGTTGCTCTGGAAACAAGAGACTGGGCTTTATCATTTCCATAAGAGGTTTCTTCTCTGTGTGCAGAAAACAAAACAGGGCTGTGGTTATTTAAGAACATCAGTCAAAGTTCAACAAACATTAATTGAGCCATGTGTCCCTGTGAGGTGCTGGGGTAGGTACAGTGGGACAGAGAACAGGCAAGTTCTCTCAGAAGGACTTCAACAGAAGGCTTCACTTGGTGGTTAAAGATAGATTCTGGGGCCAAAACCTCACTCAAAACTTCACACCATCTCAGAACCCTTGCATAAGTTACTCCATTTTTCCAAAACTCACTTTGTCTGAGAAGGTGTGAGGTTTTGAGTCTAGATGGTTGGCCCCAGCATCTATCTTTAACCAGAAATCTGGATGCAGGAAGATTTCAGAAAAGTCAAATATGTATAAGCAGAGAATAGATCATCTATTGGAAGTTACAGTTATAAGATGAATCTAATAAAGAGCTAATGCAGAGCATAGTGGCTATTGTTACAATGCTCTACGTTTATAAAGCTGGAGGAAGAAAAGATCACTCTGCCTTTTGTGTGGAGATTAGATTGTAGGGGATATAAGCAGAAAGAGGAAACTTTTAACAATTCCTCACAATGGTTTGAGCAAGGTATGAATGAGGCTTGAGCTAGAGAGGAGCAGGGCAGATGTAAAGGAATAAATACAGTAAATACATTGGACATAGAGTTGGCCGGACCTACTGATAGATCAGAGTTTGGGGAAGAGAAAGGCCACATTCCAAGAGCATGAGCTATTGAGCAGATGAAGTTACTCTTCACTGAGATGACAACTTTCTTTGTGCATCAGTAAGTAAATAGATGGTATTAACAATATGATAAAAAACTAATCCCTTCTGATTGCTTATGAAAGATCAGATACAATTCTAAGAACCTTACATGATTTAATTCAACACTCATAACAGCTCTGTGAGGCAGGCATTATCAACGTTTTATTCCAGAAAGTTGTAGAGCAGAGAAATAAAGTGACCAAAGTCACATAGCCAGCAATCAGCAGAGCTTGGGTTGGGTTTCGTAGATTTCAGAGTCTGCCTCTTAATCTCAGGCCACACTGCCTGTCTGTTAGTTTGACTCCTTGATTCAAATCCATAGCCCCAATTCTATTGATTTGCCTCCGTAGGCGCATGTGGTTGAGAACCGGGGCTTCAGGTGACAGAGTGTGGGTTGGCCCAATCTAGAATATTCTCCAAAATCTTCCCCACATGTTCAGGAAAAGCCACTGAAATCAGTGGGTCACACACTCAGCTTGAATGGATGTTGCCATTTCATGGAGTAGGTGAACATGAATCCCATCTGCTGCATTTTATGATTTTCCTTTGCCTCATTTTATTCATTTGAAGCAATAGAAAATACGCCGAAAGGTTAATCCATGGTTAAGAGTGCTGTTCTGACTGGAGCTCACCAGCTGTTAGCTGGGTGACTTCAGTACACCTCTTTATGTTTGCTTCCCCATCATTAAATTGGGGAACCTATGCCAAAGGCTGGCTAGTTTATTACCAAGCCCTATTCGTTTTCATTCTGGCCACAGACCTGGACTCTATGTCAAGCTTCTCTTGCTGTTTATTGTGGCCCTATGGCTCTAGTCATTAGGATAAGGACAGACATGATGGATGCTGCCTTCAGATCTGGTCCCCACAAATCTCCCAAGTGACATCACACTCCCTGTTTGTTGTCTGCTGACTTAATAAAAAGAATCTGGCAGAGAACTTCATGTTCCAGGGCACAACAGAGTCACAGGCTTGAAGGAGTCTCTAAATCTCTGTGTGATCATGTGGAAGACCTGCCAAGTAAGACCAGCCACTTTGAACAGCATAAATTAGAAATAAATATGTATTGTATTAGATCAGTGCAAGTTTGGGGTATGTTTATTAAAGCAACTTTAATTATATATTCTAATTAGTATAAATACCTACCTTCTAAGATTACTCAGTATCTACAAAGTATATGGATAAATATGCTTACAGAACATAGAAGAAAATGTATCTCCATGCTTCTCCCTTTCCAAATTCTTTGTGACAACTAGAGAATGATATAATCCTCCTCTGAAATCATCATTCTTCAAGTGAGGCTTCTCATTGCAATTAACAATATGGTCTATTCACATACAGAACAGGTATTAAAGCATTCTGCAGAACAGTAAGAGGTGAGCAAACATAACCTGAGAGAGCTTGAAAAACTGATGCCTTGGTCTGTTTGTGCTGACTACACTTGAAGCTGGGTAATTTATAAACAACAGCAATTTGTTTCTCCCAGATCTCAAGGCTGGAAGTCTAAAATTGAGGCACCTGCTCATTCAAGGCCTTGGTGAGGGCCGGGTCAAACACTGCCTTCCCACATAATGGAAGGGAAGGTAAAAGGACCTAGCTAATTTCCTCAAGCATTTTTATAGCGTTGCTAATCCCATTCATGAGGATGCCATTCCCACGGCTTTTTCACCTCCTAAAGTCCCTACCTCAATGGCAATAAAGTTTCAACATCAAAATTTGGGGGGTGGGGGCACATTCGGCTGTGTTCTGGAGGCTTGTCTCATCCCTCTCAAGAGTCTTCATGACCTTAGTCTGCATTCAGGACTCTACCACTTCTGTGATTGGGTCATTCTAACACGATTGACCAGCCTTGCTGACAATTTAAATGAGTTTATTACAACCTACTATCTTTCTTTTGGGTAGATGCAGCCTCATCAATCCTGTGTGGGCAGGCGAGAAGACTTCAAAAGTCAGAAAATTGGTTACATCATACAGAATCAGAGATGTGGGCTTAGAGAGGGAACCAAATCCTACGAGAGGCTCAGATTTTCCTTTGAGGACCTTTCATTATTTGTTTTAAAGTAAAAGTCCTCACCCCGATAAAAAAAAAAAACAGATATGCAATAGACCATCTTGAAAGTGATCAGAGTTTCACCCCAAAAAGAATGTTTTGAATAAAAAGAGGTTTTAAGACATTTGATAGCTCCGTTGTATATTTATTTATTTCTACATACCCTGCCAAGTTTTCTCTAGACTTATGTTGGCATATAAATCTCTTGAAACTTGATTTTATTTATTTTTTTCCAGTTCACCTTCAGACTTTTAAGATGCTGTCCTCTGTCATCGTCACTCATCGTCTTGTCTCTCTTAACAAAAATCACAAATCTTTATTTTACGATATAGCACAGTCATAGAAATACTGCCCGGGTAACAGAGAATACTTCATGGGTGTCTAAAATGGCCTTGCAGATAAACGATTCTATCAGTTCAATGATATTCATGTACTCACAGAAAACCTCTCATCACAGGGAATTTTCCAGCATATCAAACTGTGCAGTGGGAAGCACTAACAGAAAATGCCCACTTGTAGAGGTCAGGGCTGACAAGCAGATGCAGCCAAGGAAACCCTCATCACATGGCTGCCTCCCAGAGGACTGTGAGCATTCACAGGAGTGCGATGCTGACAGGACATCCAATGTTTGTGTACATCTCTCTCAAAGAGGATACAGGCATGTAAACAACAAATGAAGATCCTTTCTCCTTCCCTAATTTGTAGTCCCCCAAGCCTCTGGGAGCCTCTCACTTTCCGACCCCAGAAGGACTCATTATACTTGCATATCAATCTACTACTCAGACTTCTATCTTTATAAAGTCCATCATTTTTTCCAAAGCCTCCAGCAAAAAAAAAAA